CAATACTACAGCGAGAATAAAAGTTACGCCTTCTTTCTTTGCGTGAACATTTGGGCGGCATTTTGCAAATCTTCCCACATAGTGATGTAGACATGTGGGGGCGTGTTAGAATGAGCTGTTTTAGGTAGGCGTGGTTGACTCTTAACTTTTATAAAGAATATCTCTTTGGATTTGAGACTTTAGTCTTTGCAACTTTACAGAGCTTGTAACACTCCAAAGAGAATGGAAAAATTGAAATCGCATCATATGACCCCTTTAACATTTCCTTCATAATTATGTACATAAAGAAATATATTTAGTCTTGGATCAGTTACCTGTGTCGGCAGTGTTCAGCTGACACACCCACCTAAACTATTTCAATACATCACTTATCCTGCACAAAAAGACCATAAACATTGCAGATAACATCTGAAGTAACAATTAATTTACAAACAAATATCCTAAAAACAATCCTGTGTGACTGATAGGCTTCAGATCAGGTGGTTTTAGCTGTCAGTCAATGATGCTCTCTGCCAGTAGGGAATAGTAAGATGACGACTCGAACACTTCCGGTGGCTTCACCGCCAAACGACAGTTTAGAACACAATGAGCAATCCAGTCATTACATAGATCAGTGGTCTGAACCCTGACTGTCTTAAATGCTGTGTTTCAGAAAATGTACTTATTTAAAGGCTGTTTTGTGGTCAGTGCCTGCAGAGGGAGAAGAGGTTAAAGAAGAGAGTTCAGGGGAGGAAGACCCAGGAACGTTAATGATGGTGGAGGTGACACTGGGAACTCTGGACCTCAGAGAACATGAGGTCCAGCTTAATAAGAAGAGAAGAAGCAAAAGGAAAGAGAAGAGAGAAGGTAAAGACCTTTGCAGAACAAAAGGAAAATGCTTTTAGTAAAGATGGAGAAGTTTAGTAAAATATGTCCTGTTTTTTTCTTGCGTCTTCAGACTCAAGCAACCGTGAAATAACTAAGGAAGAAGCAAATTATGAAATACTGGAAGAAGGTGAACTGGAATGTGAAGAAGATGACTCTAAAGAGATGCAGAGAAAGTCAAAGAGCAGGAGGAAACCCAAAGGCAAAAAACGTCAGCTAGAAGAAGGTAAAACACTGATATTGGAGCCAACAGTCAACTCGCAGTTCGCCGGTAATAAAATGTTTCTGAGCAGCAAATCAGCATATTAGATTTAATTATGAAGTATTATGTGACACTGAAGACTGGAGAAATGGTGGCTGAAAATTCAGCTTTACCATTTCAGGAATAAGTTACATTTTAAAATATATTCAAATAGAAAAGTTATTATAAAATTGTATATTTTATACTTCTATCTCTTTTTAGAAGAATTGAATGAGTCTTGGGAATATAGTTTGAGGGACGCTCTCTACACTGCCTGTAAAACGGGGGACATCCAATCATTACGCACCCTCCTGCAACAACCAGAGGACCAGGGAGAGGAAAAAGGCAAAGGAGAGAGAAACGCCAAAGAGAATCCTATCTCAAGGGTTTCATATCTTCTCAACAAGCCCATAGACTCATCAGGCTTTACTTTACTGCATGTGGCATCAGCAGCTGGACAGAGTTCAGTCATCAGACTGTTAATGGATGAAGGGAGTGATCCAGCTAACAAGTGAGCGCATACAGAATCATTGCAATAATCAATTAGCAGCAATAAAAATGTACTGCATGGATAAGCTTTCATGTGGCCAGATGGATTGTTCAATTCTAAATAGTGGCCAATGTCTTTTTCAGGGATAAGAAAGGACAGACTCCATATGGAGTTGCTCCGGAAAAAGATACCCGCAACACATTCAGAAAATACATGGCCGAACACCCTCAGAAGTATGACTACACTAAAGCACAGGTAAACAAATCTATCTTATGATGACTAGCAAAACAACAAATAGTAACAAAACCTTCATATGCATGGCAAAACGACAACAACAAAAACAGTGAAAGTCAGAGACCACAAATAAAAATGATTCTATTTTTCACTTTAAAACAAATGATTTTTTAATGCACATTAAAAACATTTGTAAAATATATTTGCTAAAAGAGATGAAGATAAAATGTTTTAATGTGTCATTACATCATTTTTGTTCATTATTATTTATTGTGACTAGTGGTTTCAGACCGACATTAAATACAACGGTTTAATAATTTGTTTAATAGTTTTTTTAAAATTAATTTAATCATGCTACTATTTTATATCATACAATTTTTTTAATATTTCAAAATACCTTTTTTCAGGTTTAAACAAATTGTTTTTTGAAAACCCTTTGTATGTACAGCTGCCTTGTCTTTGCAACCCAAAGTAATAAATGTGTCGCTGACAGCTGTATTCTCTTTGCTTGAATGTGTTTAAGGTGCCTGGACCACTGACTGAAGAAATTGAGTCCAAAAAGGCAGAGAAGAAAAAAGCCCAAAAAGCAGCACGGAAACAGAGAGAGAAAGAGCAAAAAGAAGAGAAACTCAAGAAACAGCAAGAAGAGGAGGAAAAGAGGAGGTTCATAGCTCTTGGTGACAGAGAGAAGGTGACTACGTAATTTCTTCCTCTTACTGTAGTTCTTACGTGGAAGAGCTCTTGTGATTGGCTGATTATGTCATATTTCTGATGTCACACAGCGAGCTCTGGCTGCAGAGAGGAGATTGGCTGAACATATGGCCACAACTGGAGTAACACTCACCACCATTAGGTATTACCTTTTATTATGTAATAATATCTCTATGGAGAAATATCTGTCCTTTTATGCAAGTCATGTTATAAGTTTTGTAATCATTACCATAAAAATCTTTTTAAAGGAGATGCTTTCAGTGTGGAGAGTCATTACTGGGAAAGATTCCTTTTGAATATTTGGACTACTCTTTCTGTACACTTCGCTGTGTCCAAGCCCACCGCAAAGCCAATGCTGCCGCCCGACCCTGACCTCTGGCATCCTGCCACACAGTGTTAGAGGAGGGGAGGGTGTACTGCCATATTGTGGACATATTTCATCTCGCATGATCTGGGAGTTGACTGGATTTTACAATAAACATATCATGGATTTCACAGTTGTCTTTGGAAATAACAAGACTATGAAAGATTACCTAGAATAGGAGAAGCGAATTATTAATAAATCATGAATGATTTACAGAAATCTTGAATTTCTCTAATTTAACAGTTTAACTCTGATATTGTTTTACTTTCCAACTCAGGACACAGACCAACCACTATGATTCAAAAAATTTTCTATATCTTCATCTATACTTGAAATGATATAATAGATCATTAAAAATCATAGCTAATTCAGAACTGTAAAGTAAAACCATGCTGCATTTTGTGTTTGAAAATGTAAAACTATGGGAAATTTGCAAACGTTTGGTTAAAATGATGTTAAAGTTTATTCTTCCACACTGCAGCAGTTTTAGGTTGTACAAATTGATATGATTCTTTTGGTGTATTATTGTTTCCAAACTAGCATGATTAATGATAAAGAACAAAAGGCATATGGTTGACAGCACAGAATGCTACAGTCACTTAAATTAAGTGAAGGAACATGGTTATATATATATATATATATATTATTCATTTATTTCTGAGTGGCTAGAATGTTTTTATTTTATTCCAAATATTTTACATCATGCCTGCCCCACAAAAACATTGAATAATTATGAGACTTAAATGAGATTTAAATAATCTTCTTTTGAATCAGAGAAACTTTAATGTGCATCAAGGTCTTGACTTCTTAGATTTGTCAGTACTAAAATTAACTTCAGGGCCTTGGTGTGGAAAAATGTTAGCATTTTTACCATTTCTTAAGAAATAAACTGACCAGTAAATTGGGCAAATCGGGCAAAAATGAGTGTATTATTATGCATTATGGTGGCTACTTTCGTGTATTTCTTTGTAATACTTCAAAGATTTGAGCAGAGATGATGGAGCTGTGCAGATACTGGTTGTTTGCAGAACAGCGAGAGTCCTTTCACTGGCACTGTTAGAGTATATGATCATGTCTTCTGTCCAGTGCTGTTCAGCTGAGGCCGGTCCATAAACAGGATTCTTCTGTGCGATGGAGCTCTTTCCAGCTCTAGCACTGTGATGTTGTTTGGCTGAGTGGCACTAAGAAAAGGTCTGGGGACATACAGCGTCTGTTGTGGGCCCCTCTGGGGCCAATACCTTCCCAGGTTCACCCCATTTACCCACACCTGACCCTAAAAGAGAAAAACATAATTACACAAAACTGGCATGTAGTTACTCAAGTCTCAAACAATAACAAATACTAGATATTCTTCATGATACAAAAAAATGCGCCTCACCTTAGTCCATCCATTGAGTTTTACAAAAGTGTCCCATGCGAGGCCTGTAGGCTTCAAGGTTCCTGAGTAGATCATTGGTCCATCTCCTGCTTCTATCCCTGACCCTGAGTGAGCCGCCTGCAGCCAGCCATTAGCTACTGCGGTGTCAATGTCCAGTGGGTAGATTGACCAATCGGTGAGCACGTCATTGCCCAAAATGAGGTTACCCAAGAGACCCTGAAAATAGGTTTTAAATTCTTTATTCATTAATGGAATTTTCTCAGATGGTTTAAGGAATATTAGCAAATCTTTAACAATGCCATATGTAGTGTAACTTGCCTTATTATCATTGATATAACTTCCAAAATGAACCCTTCCCATGTTCTCCACGAGTATGTCCAACTGATCCCCTTCTTGTCCCGTAACGTTCATCACCAGTGCAGTGTCCCTCTCCATAAGCCCCTGGTACACCTGCTCACACACAAGTTTCAATCTAAACAGTCTTTTCTGGCAAACATCTGTCATCAAACAAAACCATAGTTAATATGAGAGTTAAATATAGGCCCTAAATAAACCGTTAACATGAATATAACAAGTAAACAATCTCTTCATTTGATCATGTAAACTGAAGTGATCAGCAGTTTGGGTTTTGTGAATAACAGAAGATCATTTTAATTTGGTCTTGAGGGTGCACTCAGTATCTGTGTTCTGATTGACAGGGTCCCTATGCAGTGTTCACTGCTCTCTGCTCACTGAGCACAGGATATCAGTTGAAGTGCACATGACAATGCACTGATGACGATGAGTTTGAGGTATGATGACATGATATACTTTGTAAATAAATAGAATATAAATTACCATACTTTCATTTAATATACTGTACGACCTATGTATAACACAGGATTATTATAGTTAACTAAAACTAAACCCATAAAAACATTTTCGTTACTTAAAATAAACGTTAATTGAAATAAAATAAATTATTAAAATACATTTCAGCTAGTTGCCGAGGCAGCATTTCTAATTTCATTTAGTTTAACTGGACGTAATCAAATAATTAAAAACTATATAGACTACATGTTAAAAACACACACAATAAAAATGACAATGACCAAAAACCAAAATAAAAAAAAACGTGTGAAGTCCACTTTGCAGGGCACTTATGGTCAACTGGAATGCACATAGTATTTTTTTTGTTTTGGTTTTGTTTCATTGGCTCATCTTCATCACATTGGTCTTTATGGACTTTATACTGACACTTACTATTCTGAATACATTAAGTTTGTTTATTAACTGCTGCTGCTCGACACTAAAGATATTAGTCTTTTTTTTCTCCATCTCATGCTTGGATTCAGTTCCAGGGTTTTGCATGTGGTTGCTGATGTGCAAAAACTGTTCGATGTATTTTGCACCAAGGGGGCTTGTCATATGATTTCAACATGGTTCCCACTTCATGTGAAATAAAGCTGATAGGTCTTCATGTGAGTGTGCATCATTTTAAACATATATTTTCAAAATGATTATTCCTTTCTTCATATGTAAAATTGTTTACACTAGGACAAAAATAACGGAGCGCACCTTTAAGCTGCAAACAGTGGTTTTACACACCAGTGGTAATACACACTGTTATAGTGTCTGACTAACCATGGTGAGAACAAAACATTGTGTTAGCATGACCCAAACAAGTGGTCTGCTCACCCCATTCACAGAGACGTATGCACGATCATGGATGCCATTGAGGGGCGAGATGAGAGGGGTCGGCTCGGGAACATTCCGTGGCAGTGTCGTTCGGTAAAGCATGAAGCCATAGTACTGCACACAGTTGACATAACACAAGCTCAGACCTGCATTTACACTTAACCAAGACCAGCCTCCAAAGCCCAAACCATATATCCACATCTATAGCCATTTATGAGGAAATAAAACATTGGCCTTTATTGGCTGGCTAAACACAACAACATAAAACATTATTAATCATAATTACATTCTGAATGTAATGTTCATGGACTGTTTTAAGTTCTTTTAAATATCATACCTGTTTAATCTCCTCAAATGTCAAAAGATATTGAGATTGTACTGGACCTTGAGGTGACAGCGTATCCAACAAGCTGCTAATGTTGCCAACCTATGAAAGAACATAGGAACAGAGTAAGATGGTTTGTATGGACAAGAAATCTTGCAAATGAATAAGGTTTTGCTATGTGAAACGTCCATACCTTCTGAAGTGTAACAAAGCCTATTACTTTATACTGACACTTACTATTCTGAATACATTAAGTTTGTTTATTAACTGCTGCTGCTCGACACTAAAGATATTAGTCTTTTTTTTCTCCATCTCATGCTTGGATTCAGTTCCAGTGTTTTGCATGTGGTTGCTGATGTGCAAAAACTGTTGGATGTATTTTGCACCAAGGGGGCTTGTCATATGATTTCAACATGGTTCCCACTTCATGTGAAATAAAGCTGATAAGTCTTCATGTGAGTGTGCATCATTTTAAACATATATTCTCAAAATGATTATTCCTTTCTTCATATGTAAAATTGTTTACACTA